CCCTCGTTTTACCCACCTTGGAAGGATGGAAGGCTGAGTCAACCTTGAGCCCGGTGAGATTCGATCTGCCAAATTGCAGGCAGCCGGCAATCAACAAAATTAGCCTGCTGTACTGCATTCTAACCACTGGGCCACCGCAGCAATATTTTTTTTTCAACTAAATAAAAATAAATAACCACAGTTAATTATGTTTACTGATTATTAAATATATTTATTATTAATTTATTTACCGCCTATCTCACCATGGAACTACCCTGGGCAGGTTACAACAATAAAATGGAGAACGAAATAATAAAAAATGTAAACAAATAACAGCAAAGCAATGGAAACAATAAAAGTAAAGCTTACCTTTGAGCTTATCTGAGGACTCAAAGCAAATTACAACAATAAATCAAAGTACAAAACATATGGCAAAGTTTTAAAGAATATAAAACACCACTGTAAAATCCACTAAAGTCAGAATCTTTAAATTAAGTTTAATGTTCAAAGTGGGGCCAGGTATAGCTTTCCTCATCACCGTGCTAAAAAAAAAGGAAGTTTCTGTATTTAGAGCCACTCAAAAGGAGAGCATGAACTAACAACTTGGCTGTTACAGGTAGTCCTTGATTTACAACAGTTCATTTAGTGACTGAAGTTACAACAGCACTGAAAAAAGCGACTTATGACCATTTTTCACACTTACAACCATTATAGCATCCCCATGGTCACATGTTCAAAATTCAGACATTGGCAACACATATTTATGATGGTAATCTTTTGCAGCCTTCCAACAAGCAAAGTCAATGGTGAAGCTAGATTTACTTAACAATCATGTTACTAACAACAGTAGTGATTAACAACTGCAGTGACTATTTAATAACTGTGCAAGAAAGATCATAGAATGGATCAAAGCTCACTTAACAACTTTCACACTTAGCCACAAAAGTTTTGTGGCTAATTATGGTCGTAAGTTGAGGACTACTGGTATGTGCCAGCCTGAGAGGACAGCTGACAGCGGTGAAATTTCTATAGGTAGCTTTTGCCACTTAACCAGTAATCAAGTGTTATATTACTAAAGGAAGAAATTCCTTTGATTAGGAATTACTAATTTTCAGAAGTGCTCTCTTCTGTTCCACTCCCCAATTTGCTGGATTTCATCTTCCATAACTTCCCTCTATCTGCTGATCGAATTTGTCTGGCAAAGCTATAAATGTGAATATAGTGATGATACGAACTCAGATTGTTAATTCATATGCTTTGTTTTCTGATTTTGCCTTTTGCTTCCATCACCACCACCACCTCCTCCTCCTCCTCCTCCTCCTCCTCCATTTACATTTAGTATAGCCACCTCCACTCCAAAAAAACTGATAGATCAAGGTTATTTGATAAAATTCTACCATTGACAGCTTAACCCTTTGATGTTTTCTTCTTGGGTCCCAAGAGCAAATCAGTTAAGAAGCTAACTGCCTAATTTATTTACTTTTAAGGCTAGGAAAATTCATGTCCAGTTGTCAAGGACATAAAGTTCATTACATTTTTAAAATCTCAGTGTGGTTCAGGATTGGTATTACAAAGAAAATACAAAAGATTATTACCAGCACATCAAGAATTCAGTGTTCAAGAGATAGGTCATTCTATGAGCATCTGCCTCTTATTCCTCAAGATTAAGGCAACTTTGATTCAGATGCTTTGCATGTTTATTGAAGTTTCCCAGGCTCTGTTTGAAGTTAAGACTCAACTCACTCTGAAATTCCATCAAGAATAAAGGAAACACAGGAAGGGCAATGGACCCAAAATAGCATAACCTTTAAAGCATGGGAATATTTCATTTCTCTGCTGAGAACTTTACCTGAGAGAAGGCATTATAACTTGGAATTTGCCCCCCTTGTGGCAATCTTTTCCCTATATTGTCTAAACAGCACTGCCAAATTAAAATGGATATTTTCATTTCTATTTCTTCAACATCTTATGAGTCAAACGTTCTTTATCCTAATCCCTGTCAGATGCTTGGGACCACAGCTTCCAGAATCCCAAAAGCCATGTAAATGTGCTCTCAACACGTAAGGAGGGCTCTAGGTCATGAGAAGCTGCTACAGTATATGCTTTGGAAATATTCCTTGCCTTAGAGCATAGCCATCCCATAGAAGCAGTGAATCTGGAAAATGTTATTTATAGTATGGCCCTAGAGATTGGTAGACCAACTCCTGAAACTTGTCGATCCATTTATAGAATTAGTGTGGCGTGCTTTGAGTTGCACAAGTAGAAAGACCTGATTTATTCCAAAACAGTTCAGTAAAGTTTCCAAGCAAAATGAGAAAGTCATAGAAAATCATAGAAACCTCCTCAGGTGGGTTTGCCAAAGTGATGCATGCACTAGCCAAAATGATTCATATAACCTCATTCAATTTAAGATACGATTGTGCAAATATGGCCATTGTTTCCCCTGCTGTTCCCTTGCTTCTATTCTGTGACAAGCGAGCTGCAGAATTTCCCTCCATCCAGGAAAGGGGTTGGTAAAGCAACCAAGTGAGAGGCAGAGCAGATTAAATTCAATCTTAGTTCCTCAGAGATTAGCTCCTCAGAGCAAGTTTGATCAAGTGATTAGGCGCCAGGCTGGAAAGCGAGAGACCCCGAGTCCCAACTTAGCCAGGAAAGACAAAACTGAATAATTTTGGACCAGTTACTCTCTCTCAGCCCAACCGACTTCACAGAGGCGTTGCGTTGAAAATAGGAGAAGGAAGGTACCCTGTTTCCCTGAAAATAAGACCTCCTCGGATAATAAGCCCAATTGGACTTTTGAGCGCATGCACTAAAAATAAGCCCTCCCCCAAAATATTGCAAAACAGCAGCAGCCTTGAGGCGACCACACTCCTCACCACCTGCACCTCAAAAATAATAAGAGCTCTCCGAAAATAAGGCCAAGCACTTATTTCGGGAGTCAAAAGAAAATAAGACCCTGTCTTATTTTCAGGAAAACACGGAATGTTGGATATCCTCACTGCCTTGAGTTTTTTTTATAAAAATAATAAAGATGGGACACAAATAAATAAAATGAAAAATAAAATAAATAAAACAGGAAATGTAACCTGCAAGTAACTTTTTGTGATACCATTGCATTAGATGTGTTGAAGGTGTTACTACATGACATTGTGATGATTTATATTTTGCATCTCTGCTGTTCCTAAGTGAAATCAGATACCAGCCATGTTTTGTGGTACAGGACATGGTTTGATTTTGGTCCACATTTCTTTTCACGTACCTTTACTATAATGAGCCATTGCTAAGCAGCAGAAATAACCAAGGCTACTGAATTGAATTCATATTTCACCATCTGTTCTACTTCCTTTTTCATTCCCTGGCAGCTTGAAAAATATAAAATTGTACAAGAATAATCATAATTTAAAAACATTATAATGGGGGAACTTTCTGCTGCCCTCCAGTGATTAAGATGAGAAAGACAATCAAGTGTTAAATGTTGAACAAGCCAACATGGTAGATGCCTCAATTGCAGGAAATGCACATAAGTAAGAAATGTTTCTGCCAGAAGGAAAGAGTGTGAAACTTACACTTCCATATAATTAAGTTCCTGCTTGGCATGAAAACCTTTTGGAAAACCTAGCCAACACTTGGCAATCACTAAATGAATATTTTTTTTAAAAAAATCCAGTGTTTTCCCTCAAGGCAGAAAAATTGTCTGCAAAAGTTATTTCATAATATAGAATGTTTTCTTTGAGACTGAAGGGCTGGCAAGTTAATACTGACTTGATCCAGGTTTTTGATTGCTGGAAAGGGGTTTTGGGCACCCCAGAAATGTTTGTCTTTTATGTTCATTACTTGTTTTCTAAAGGCTGTGGAGTAGGCCACTACAGGAGGTTTGCTTAGAGTATTCACACAGAAGATACTATCCAACATAATTTTTAAAAATGGCTTGCATTATTCAGCAATTGTTGAAAGTTGTTTCAAAATCAAATGCTCTATAAACTTACAAGGCATCTCATGTGCAGGGTTTTTAAGAGGAAACTGCATCTGCTGAAGAGATAGAAGTTAATCAAATTGGGTCAGAGAAGAAACGGTATTTGTTTATTTTGTTCTTTACGGTATTTATAAGGCCAACCCCAATCAATTAAGATTCTGGGCAGCAGAGAAATCAAAATAGAAATAGTAATAGCCAAATAGAAACAGCCAGATGTGTCCAAAAGAAATGCTCACAATTTGAGATGAACACCCAACGGAATAGTATGGTTGTAACAGTCTTGTGGAATGTGAGGAGGGACGGGTCAAACATACCTCTTGAGAAAGCATGTTCTAGGGAGTGCACATATGCTGGAGAAGGTTGGCCACCTAGCCCAACCCCCACGGGTAAAGAATTGTTTGCAGGCCTCCTCTTGATGTTCAGGCCAGAGTGGCAGCTTCAATTCTGGTAAGTCTGTCCCTGATATAACCCAGAACTACATCACAGTGAGTTTTAAAGGTGATAACTAGCACTTTGAATTGGACTCAGATGTTTACTTGGAGCATATGCAACAATCTTAGAATTTGTGCTATTTTGCAGAGATGGGCTTAGAGCCTGTCGTGGCCAAAATTGGAACCAGGGAGGGCCGTTTTTTTCTGTCATAGGCAGCGATGGCCGGTCCTTCTCTTTTTCCAGGGCAGCCCCATGGGCCAGATCTAAACACCCCACAGGCCGCATCTGTCAAACCTTGAGTTTGACACCTCTGTCGTAGAACGTATTTGGGATTATTTCAGATTTTAATCTTTAAATAGTAATACTAGTAATAATGATGATTATGTTTAGTGGACTGTGGATGCTGTCGCATTTTGAAAGATGGGTACGGTATTTATCTCACCTCTCTCAATACCCTACATTGCAGGGCATGCTCAGGAAAACCAGCCACAAGGCTGAGCTTGCTCTAAGAAGAGAACTCCCTTATCATTTTATGCTTCCATTGCCTAGGAAATGCCTGATTCAATTCAGATTCATGTATTAGCTTCCATTAATGCCCTTGGCTTCTGTCTTTCAGGGTCGACCAGTAAGTGCATGTTCCTTCCTACGTCGTGTGTGCTGTGCTGCTTTACCACTCCAGTTGCTGCTGTTGCTTCTGCTACTCCTTGCCTTTCTGCTCCCCCTAGCAGAGGAGACACAGAGTTGCAAGCTCACCAACAACTTTGCACACTCCTTCAACTTAATGCTGAGACACGATCGCCCACCACCAATTTAAGTTCTCCTTGCCTGCAGTGCAGCTAAGTTACAGATTGCATTTTCCCCAGCAGTTTCCCCCGCACCACAGATCTTTATCTTGTGTTAAGTCCTTCAAGAATCATGGCAACTGCTAAAGAGTCCATTTAAAACTGGAAATTTGGTTAAATGACCGCCATTGTCCAATGTATGCTCAGGCTGGAGAAATGAAGTATTCATATTTAGAGCTAAAATACATTTTTAAAATATATGATTATATTTATATTGTATATATGATTTTATATAGATATATATATAGATATATGTATGTGTATCAAAAATGTCCTGACATTGATGTTTTCAACAAATTCTACTCTTTATTTGAGTATGTCTTCGTTGAAAAATAGTCTGTGTTAAGCACAAAAATAAAAAGAATAATATAAGAAGGTATGAAAAATGACTTATCACCCAATGGTAGCAGCAGCCATGTGTCATTCTCCTTCCTGTGTTTTTACATACATCATGCTTACAATTGCCATCTGATTGAAATAGGCAATTGGATGATTCGTTGGAACAGCCATTCTCTCTCAGCCAAACCTGTCTCATACTCCTGCTAATATTCCCCAAGAGCAAGTATTAATGTCATAAAGCCTCTGATCTTCGGGGTGGCATATAATTAGTAATTACTGAAAATCTTATTTGTTCCATCAGCTTATCTGATCCCTTTTCTACAAGCTGTAGGTGATGAGACTTAGATTCACGTCAGTGAAACAGTTCACACTACAGAGACAATATGATTCATTCCACCAAAGCTGAACTGAATCATGCCCCATATTGCCTCAACAAAACCATTTGGGTGGCCTTCTACCACATGGGCCAGTTTGCCGGAGAAGATTCTTCCCATGTTTTTCTCAATAGGACAGTTCCCAGGATAGGCAGTTTTTGGATTACCCACATTGTACCTCAGAACTTCCTGGCCTGGAAGACCTCTGTGTGGGGTTTCTGGCAAATAATTTGGATAAGACAAGCCCCGGGGACTAGGGTTGCAGAGAAGACACCACTTACCTCCTTGAAACTGCCTGCAAAAAAAAATCTGGTAGACCATCAACCTGGGCTTCAGGTTGACTGCTTTGGATGCACATTATAATCAATCACAGTATTCACTGAAATAGCCATACCAAGAAGCCCTTGAGCAGTATGGTGGGAGAAACCTCCTTTCAGCCTTCTCCTGTAGCACTCCCACAAGGAGCTCCTCTCAGCCTTCCACCACAGACAAAGCTCTGTAGGAGAATGTGGAAAGGTAGTACACAATATGGCGAGGTGAACCAACATGGTTGCTTCACTCTTAGAACCAATAGGATCACATTGCTTTCCAAAGGTGCTTTATGAAAATCTCTATTGAAGTCAAAACTTTGCATAGCTCGATTTTCTCCATGTTGTGGAAAGAAATGCCAATATAACTACATGCTGCATGAAAAAGGATTTATTTTTGTTTATTCTCAATTTCATACTATTCAGCTAGATTGGATGACTTGGAATTCTCCTAAATAGTAAACAGGCATTTAGAATATGTATCTGATTGTTCCCCTCAGCATAGTTAAATCAGAGTTGGCAACCTTGTAGTTGTAGATAGAATCGCATAATGTGCTTTTAAATGTTCTGCCAAAGGGAAGAGAAGTCAACTATAGTTATATGGGGGGGGGGGTGTACTTTAGCTGGGTTCACACATCATGCTAAATCATAGTGTGGTTTTCTCTGGTTTTTAGTTTACCATGTAAATCATGGCTTGGCACAATTTGGTTTCTTCAAACAACATTGTTAAAAAATGAAACAGCCATAATTTTACTACACTGTATGAACCCGGTCAGTTTCTGTAAGTAATCAGCTTTCTGTTCCAGGTAGATAACCCAGTAGAGGATCTATTAAGGTCTTCGTAAATCATACAAAATATGAAATATGGTTGAATACGGTATGGATAATGCAGCTGGAACCCTGAGCCATAATATGAATCTGTAAAGGCACTCCAGTGTATCCAGGAGATACAAAAAAGCATGAAAAGAAGGGCGGGTGGGAAGAATAGAGAAGAAGGGCAATGGGGGAGGAAAATTGGCCAGCACAAAAGAATAGTCCAGAGATGCTCTCATAAAATGATTTTGTTAGTTGAAAATAGGGCTGCTGGCTTTCCAACAATTCAGTGGAACTCTGCCTTTCCCAGTAACATGACTAGTGGTGGGATTCAACTGGTGTAACAACCAGTTCACTAAGCGCATATTTTGTATGTATGCATGCTTTGTGCACATATACACGCCAAATGTACACACTGTACGCGTGCAGTACATTTGAAAACAGCTCTACAACGTACCTTCTACTTCAGCCCCAATGAGCCCAGGCTGAGGCGCAGCAATCCGCTCTGCTGCGCCTATCAGCTGGGCTTCAAACAAAGGAAATATAAGACAGGCTGGTGCAGGGACAGGTGGGTGGGCCCAACTGATCGCCAATACTACTGGTTTGCCCAAACCGGCTGAATCCCACCCCTGAACATGACAGATGTGTAGAGGTTAATGTTTTATCTCAAAGATATGAAAAGCTTCATCTGCCAATTCTACACATCAATAGAGGAGTACAAGAGAAGGCTGGGCTGATTTGGATTTATTTTATTTTTACTTCCCCCTTTATTATTTTTATAAATAACGCAAGCTGAACATATCTAATACTCCTTCTTCCTCCTATTTTCCTAACAACATTCACCCGGTGAGCTGAGCTGAGCTGAGAGAGTGTGACTCTCTCCCAAAGTCACCCAGTTGGCTTTCATGCCTAAAGTGGGACTAGAATTTATAGCTTCCTGATTTCTAGTCCGATGACTTAATCACTGCCCAATCTTTTGCCAGCTCTAGGTAAGACTCTGTTTTCAGGGTCATAGGGTAGGTTGTTTCAGACTACAGACTGACGTAATTGGCAAAATGCAAAATTACACCTGCAAAAACAATGTTAGTACTAGGTTAGTAGTCTTCCAAACCTGTTACCGATATTAGTGGAGTACTCCAAGACAAAACCCTTCTGCAGTTTGAGTTGGTCCCCCAACCCCTCCCCCGGAGCATGAAAAAATATATCATGCACAATTGTGCAACAGATCCAAAGTCTCCAGCTTGTCTCTGTAAGTTTCCTAGAGTCCAGAAAGCAAAAGTATGACTTCCCTCCCAACTACAGCTAAAAGACAGATCACAAAGAAGCAGCTAATAGAATGTAGGAAAAGTAGCATCCACCTGACTTCAACCCTAATTCAAGGAAGAAGCTAATTTACCTCTTACTGCTGATGTTTCAGTAGTTCCCTAGGTAACACTTAGCTATTGCAGTGAATGTTTTGCTTAATGTATTATGTGGTTTGCAAACCATGATTTCAGATTTAGTCTGTTGGCCAAAGCTATTTTATGTTTTATTCAGTATACTACAACTGTGGCCAGAGGTGGGCATCACATAATGTACATGCACACTGCTTTCCGTGCATGTGCATGACTCAAAAAACACAGCGATATATCTCCAAAATAGTGCCTGGGTGGGTGGGCAGGCCCACTCCCACCTGCCAGTCAGAACTACCGATTCGCCCGAACTGGTCTGAACTGGCAGTAGCCCACCACTGACTGTGGCTTAGTATATGTGAGGTTCCAGCTGATGTCCCACACATATCTTTAGTAAGGTTTTCTGCAAAGGAGTGTCCCAGATATTCATTTTAGAAGAATGTATGGATCTCCTGTGGAAAATAATGGTTGCATTCTGTGAATGTGTGCCATCAAAGGCCATCTGGAGAGGGAAAAAAGCCTTATGTGACTCTCCCTCCCCTTTGTACAAAGCTTGTGTTTGCAAGAAAACTCACTGCATCCATTGTTAGCAGCAACAACAACAAGACCAGCTGCAGCACATTCAGTCTGAAGGCTTAGAGTCTAGCAAAAGGGGTATTACTAGTTCATTCGGCAATTTCCAATCCTTTACCTTAAATACAGAAATAAGTATTGAAATTCAAGAGTCAGCTGAAAAATGGGAATTGGCCACTCTTCAGTGCACAATAATTATAATATCGCTTTCAGCCTGTTACTCTTTGCAAAGATTATTATTATTAGAGGTAGACCTGAACTGAGACATCATTCAAATGAGTTCAGGTATTTTTCTCTCCAATTTTGCATGGAGATGCATTTCTCTTTTGTAACACAAAATATTTATGGAGATAAAATTGCATTTCCTGAAGTTCATTGGAATGCAAACATATGAAAGCTGGAAAGCGATGTTTGTATCTCATTTGTTATTTGCCATTCAATCCATGTTTTGAATGCTAAATCCTTTGCCAGGATGCCTGCTAGTTGAATAAGCAGACTGCATGAGCAGTCCAATATAAAAACTGATTCCAGTCTTGGGAACAACAAAAGAGAAAAATGTCATTCTGCTTCACATCCATGTATGGTTCCAGTCAACTATTCTGACTTTATTAAATATTAGTGAGGCCAAAACTTACAGTGAAGAAATTGTGCTTTCCTCTATAAAAACACACTGAAACAACATACTGTAGTTTGGCTGGCATGTTGACAATGATTGCATGTTCAGGAAGGCTGACCATCTGTTGTCGTCTTGATATTTTTATTAACCATTCTTTCTTATTGACCACATAGCCTGGAATTGGCAAATATTGGTCCATACCACAAGGGGATGCCAGGTTGCCTATCTCTGACAGAAGATTCTTCTCTGCTTTTCCACCTTTTGTATTCCTGTCTAGCCCTTCATTTTGACATAGAAGCAGTTACAGACTGCTTGCATGCCTCAATTTTCTATTCTATATAATGTCTGGCTTAGTAATTATCTGATTTTGGCTGACCTTGAAAAGACATGCTGTATTTGATTTGATTAGTAGTTGGATAGGAGACTACCAAAGTTGTGAACTGTGGAGGTTGTGAAGTCAGAAACATTCTGGGTGAAAGCAATTGCAAACCACTTCCATATTGTTCCAAAAATGGATGCATTCATAACGTCATCAGGAGTTGAAATTAACTCAAAGGGGGCTTTGTATACCTACATCCCTCAGGCATACCAGATCGGAGTATAAGAGAACTTAAAGGGTAATTCAGCTGTTATAAGACAAGGCTTCGGGCAGTAACATTATTTTTCTGTGAAAATGCTTTTTGCCCTTTTCATATATTTTATCAAGTCTCACTCAGTTCTGCATAAGATTCTCTGCGCACCTGCAAAAATGGAAGATATGATACTTATCATTGTTTATAGCAGTGAGACCAGTACTAAAGATTAAACTTCCCCTCTTAAGTTATTAAAATAAACTTTTCTTCAGTGCCAAACAATAAGTTTTTAGTGTGCATGTGCTGAAATGAATCTGACCTGCACAAATACACAGATGGCCCTTATTAAATCATGGTTTCATTATCTGTGGTTTCATATATCTGTTAAAAAGAGACCAGACTTCAGTGGTAACAGTTTTCACATACCTGTGGTTTGGGGCCATTATCTAAAGCTATGTATCTAGCATGAAAGATCATGGGCAAACTTTTCTGTATGCAGAAAGTATATTTTTTCAAGGCCTCATTACCTGTAGCATCATCATCCACAGTTGCTAAACTGGATTTGAATCTTGCAAATTTCCCAGTAGAAAGAGGGAATCCCATTATTTCCTCCACCTATGCCAGAAGCACATCACCCCAAAACCAGCTGCTTTTCTTACTTTAATTGATGGTCAGGCATCAAGGTGCCACTGCTTTTTGAAATTCTTCCCCTCCCCCAAATTTCTTAAAATTCAGATATCTTTACTTGGTTTTGGTCTTTTTACACTGTGGATTAAGAGCAGCAGCTGTTCGGCACATAAGCTGCTTCAAATAATTTAAGCAGAGGACTGAAGACTAGAATCCGGAGCTCTGAAGCTGCTGAAATGCATGTCCCTTTATTGCATTATGCCAGTATATTCTGATGTTCAACTTCATTCATGTCTGTTTGCTTAAAACCTAGATATAGTTGGCCTTCTGGGGCTACAGTCACATTAGTTGTTAGTCACTAATCCCGCCCCCCTCAGTTGATTAGAGTGTTGTTTTCAATATTGCTAAGGCATTGTCTTCCATTTATTCCTTTAGTCCTGTGGAATTAAATCTGCATTTTTAAAGTCAGCTGTCATGTGGATATTGTAAATGGAATATGCATATACATCCACTGTTTCTCTACCATGCCTCTACAGTATAACATTTGAAAAGGCTTCTGCTACTGACTTAATTTTAGAGAGGTGAAAAAAAATATTTTTCAAACCACCTTCCTCTTTTTAAAATGAGCCTTCATTTTGTTTAATTTCAAGCTTACATGTTTACTAAATAATGACCAGATGTTCCTGAAGGGTAAGATTTACCCTCAAAACATAGGATTTGATCTGTAATTTGAACAGCATCATCATAATTGTATGTTGGATTCACAAGACAAGCAACCTATTGTTAGTCTCTGTATATTAATCAAAAGGGCCAACACCCATCAGATATTTAGGTCAATTACTTCTTATAAGCAACTGCATATTACTAGTGAAGGTTACAATTCAAGGAGGAAAATAGGTGCAAGACTTAAACAGGACTATCAGAAGCCATACAACTGGAAGCAGCTAAAAAGAAGGCAGTGGTTCTTCTTATATATCCAAGTATTCATTTTGCCCCATTTCTGTTTTTACCATGAAAGGCTGTTTACAGAACTTTGGAAACAATATTAAAGATAGTGCTAACAATGTTTTTTTTCCTTGTTATTAAAAATTCTCACCCTTTTTTTCCTTAAAAAGTAGAGCCAGATTTGTATCACTGGAGAACTTAATATTAGAAGCACAAGGATATTTGCTTTGGTGAATATGTTTAGAACATTCTGAGCCAGGTATCAGAAGAATGTTGAGCTCACAGTCCTTTAAACAAAAATAATAATAACTTCTGCTTACATGAAGTTATTTTTCATTATAGCAATCTAATTCAGGTGGAACAAAGTCACATTGCTGCTGCTAATATTTGGAAAGTAGAAACAATTGTCTGTCTATTGCAAACAAAGGGATCTATTAGTGCTGGGTATCAAACTGGCGGTCCACAGGCAGTCCACAGAAGTTCCACGAATGGGGAAAACATCATGAACGTCACATGATGGCAATGTGATGCAGCTGTTTGACACCCAACTCTCTGTTGATCCTTTTGAGCTTCCACCTCATTTTCTGAAAGTTGAATTGAGATTTCCTGTGAGTTGCTGGAAATCTATGAATAATATCTCATTTAGGAATCTTCACACAACAGGATCTTTATCCCAAATGAAAAAAAGCAGCCTCCGTGCTAGCTGCCTGGGGTAACAAGAATTTATAACAAGCTTTTTACAAGCCATTAATCTCTCTTGAGTGAAATCCATATCAGTGGTTTCCAAGAAAATCAGAGAACCTCTTGAATGAGAAGAAGGACAAATGGTTTTAT